GTCCCATTCAAAAACAAAGCCTAATACCTGTAAAAGAGTTCGCCATTTTGAGCTGAATAGTTTCTCCCATAAAAAGCCTAATCCTAATTATTAAGAATTGCCTATTTTGAGGCTGAAAGATTTTCCCGCATAAAAAACAAAGCCAATACCTTAAGAATTTCGCATTTTGGGCTGAAAGATTTTCTCAAAAACAAAGCACTAATACCTTAGAAATTCGCACTTTATTGGTTGAAATATTTTTTTTTCATCAAAAACAAAGCCTAACACCTTAAAAAATTTCGCATTTGGGCTGAAATGATTTTCCCATCAAAAACAAAGCCTAATACCTTAAATCATTTGGATTTTTGTGTAATTTTTTCTCCATCAAAAACTAAGCTAATACCTTAGAAATATTGATTTTGGGTAAAAATTTCCAATCAAAAACAAAGCTAATACCTTAGAAAATTTGGATTTTGGGGTGAAATTTTTTCAATTAAAAACGAGAAGCTGATTCCTTAAAAATTTTGATTTTTGGGTAAAAATTTTCCCATCAAAAACAAAGCCTAATACCTTATAAAATTCGCATTTTGGGCTGAAAGATTTTCCCATCAAAACAAAGCTAATATAGTTAGAGAATGTGCATTTTGGGCTGAAAAATTTTCCATCAAAAATCAAAGCCTAATACCCTATTAAAAATTCGCAATTTTTGTTGAAAATTTTTCTCCCTGCAAAAACGAAGCCGTAATTACGTTAAAAATTTCGATTTTTGGGCCTGAAAGATTTTCATACCATTCAAAAACAGAAGCTGAATACCGTTAAAAATTCGCTTTTGTGAGCTGAGAATTGTCCTCCATCAAAAAGCAAAGCCTGAATACTTTAAAAAAATTCGCATTTTGGGTCTCGAGAAGATTATTCACATACATTAAAAAGCGAACGTAGAGACACTTCATGAGAGGGTATAACACACACTTTTCGCGATTCTTTGAAAGAAACGCTGAAAGATTGTCACAGAGAGTATAATACTCAGATCAGAACTCACATCTTAATATAAGGTTGCGGTATCTTGGGCTAGAGAGAGTATAGAGTCATTAAAAATTATAGGTGTGTAAGCCTAAGAGACGTATTCCTATATATATATAGAGTCTCGACAATTTTGTGGCATACTCAGAGTTCTTTCGCCAAATCGAATAAAACGATATGTATATAGAGTAACATTAAGAGCTGCATATAGCTTAGAATATAGGGTATTTGCTCTCACAATCAAGATGTAACACAATAGCCTAATCTCACTGATATTTTAATGAAATTTGTAGTTGTTGCTATCCAGTATGTATCCCATCGAAAAAGAAAGCCTAGGTAGCCCAGCTAAAAATGTTAAAAATTCGCACTTTTTGAGCTTGAGCTGGAGATTTTCCCAATAAAAAGGTATGCACGTAATAACCTGAATAAGTTAATATTATTAAGTAGCTTTCGCATTTTGGCTAAAGATTTTCCCATTCAAAATCAACAGCCTAATACCTTGAAAAAAATTTTGGCATTTAGGGCTGAAAGAATTTTCCATCAAAAACAAAGACTATCACATTTACAAATTCGCATTTATGGCAAAAAGATTTTCCCATCAAAAACCAAAGCTAAAACTTAAAGGAAAATTTGCGCATTTGGGCGGAATCGAGTAATCTATTAATCCACATCAAAAACAAAGCCTAATACTTTAAGTTAAATTAGCATTTTCCTTGAGTTGAATAATTTTTTCTCATCAATAACAACAAAGGCCTAACCGATTAAATAATTCGCCTTTTTATGTGCTGAAAAGTTTTTCCGCTGTCAAAAAAAAGCTTATACCTTACACGAAACTACGCATTTTTGGGCGTGAAAGAATTATTGCAGATCAAAACGAAAGCGTACATAACCTTAAGAATTCGCAGTTTTTCGCTGAATAGTTTTTCCTCATCAACCATAACAAAGCCTAAGAACTGAATTAATAAAATATCGCAATTTTTGGTGAAAAATTTTTTCTCATCAAAAACGAAGCCTAATCGGGGATTAAAAATTTGAATCGCATTTTGTGGGCTGGAAAAGATTCATTCTCCCATCAAAAACGAAGCCTAATCCGTTATAAATTATTTCTCGCAGTTTCTGGGCTGAAGATTTTCACACCATGACGAAAAACAAAGCCTGGTGACAACACCTTAAAAATATTCGCATTTTGGCTTGAATTCGATTTTCTTTGTTCTTCAAAGAAGTCAAAGCAAACTGTGGATTATTTGTTACCAATATTTTTAACCCATCAAAATCTAAGCCAGGGATGACCAATTTACATCACAATGTTCGCATTTTTGTTGAAAATTTTCCAATCAAAAACAAAGCCTAATACTTCTATTTGAAAATTGCATTATTTGGGAAAAACATTCTTTCTACTCAATGAATAAAATTCTTACGATCTTTAAAAATACATTCAATTCTTAGACAAAAGGTACTTTTAGTCTAAAGTTAGGTACTTTGCCCTCGAAAACTGCGATTTCAACAACAGGAGTAAAACATTTAAGACCAATCTTAATACAACAGCCTTGAAAAAGTTTGGCATTTTTGGCTGAAAACTTTTGGCCCATCGATAAATAAGCCTTTGGTGTAAGGAAGATTCTGCAATTGGGTGAAAGAAATTAAGTTTTGCTAAAAAAATCATTATAAATAACTCTTGAATATCTGCGAGATCAACTCCGTTAAAAAACATCTTAGACAACTAAGCAATTGAAAATTCATTGGCTGAATTTTTCCATCAGAACTATACCTAGAATGCTAGGGAAATATTTGCAATTCTTGATACGGTTAACTATTACTTTGATGCAAGTTACAATAGCCAAGGGTCTTGAAAAATTCTTCTCAAATTGAAAGTAAAGCCTAATTACCTTAGAAACAAATTCTAGCAACTAGGAGGCAAAAGTATTAATTTTGCAAAAATCAAGGACTTATGCCTTTAGAAAACTTGGGAGATCATATCTGGGTAATCATCTTTAAAGTTAGACCGTAAGACTAATAGCCTTGATCAAATTGCATGGTGTTCTCGTTGTACTCAATTTCACTTATCCAAAAATAAAAGGCCTAGATAATTTAATAAAATTTGCAAATTGAGAGACAAAACATATATTTGCCCGGAAAAACTAATATATCAATGCCTTTGAATATCTACTTCATCACTCTCTAGAGTAACCATTTTGCTTACAATCAAGAAAGCTTTGAAAAATTTTTGCATTTTTGGCATTCTTGCAATAGCTTCATAAGTCCATAAAAGAACTTAGCCTAATACCTAGATAGAGAATTCTGCAATTGAGGGACAATACAATATTTCTTTTTGCCAAAAATCAAGACTATGCCCTGGTGAAAATTGCTTGTTCAAAACTTAGAGCAAGCATTTTAGGTTAATATTAAATATAATAAATTTTTTAAATAAATAAATAAATAGGTTAATAATACTGAAGAGCTAGAAAGTTAAAACTTACGTCTAACAACAACGTGAAGTTTTTTTCTTAGCAAACAATTTTAGAGTAAAGAATGAAGCTATACTTTTAAAAAAGGTTTTTTCATCTGGTAACACCACTTTAACAAAACGGTTTAGACTATAAATTGATATCATTCCAACCGAAAGATTACAACATTATTACTTGCAATTAACACATACTGTAAGGAGTCTCTGCATGCAGTAATTAAACTAGTCTAATTAGCAGTTGAAAATTTTTTCTACTTGTTATGTATTTGTTCCCCAGAATGCAATGCACTTCCTCAATCTTCTTTACTGAATATTTTCCTATGGTTGTATGCGACTGTGGGCAATGTTAAAGTGACTGTCATTGTTAGAGTATTTGCGTCTATATCCAGAAAATTATCAAGTGGAAAATGAACTCGTAACTTGTATTGAGCCTAAAGTGGCTGTGTGTCCTTCCAAAGGCGCCTTGGATTTCCATTTGGTAGTTTCTTTGCCAATGGCCTAGCCGCATCCGAGAGCAAGATGTCTGTTAAGGCTGGGAAAATCTTTTAGCCCAAAATGCGAATTTTTTAAAGTATTAGGCTTTGTTTTTGATGGGAAAATCTTTCAGCCCAAAATGCGAAATTTTTAAGGTATTAGGCTTCGTTTTTGATGGGAAAATCTTTTAGCCCAAAATGCGAATTTCTTAAGGTATTAGGCTTTGTTTTTGATGGGAAAATCTTTCAGCTCAAAATGCGAATTTTGAAGGTATTAGGCTTTGTTTTTGATGGGAAAATCTTTCAGCCCAAAATGCGAATTTTTTAAGGTATTAGGCTTTGTTTTTGATGGGAAAATCTTTTAGCCCAAAATGCGAATTTTTTAAAGTATTAGGCTTTGTTTTTGATGGGAAAATCTTTCAGCCCAAAATGCGAAATTTTTAAGGTATTAGGCTTCGTTTTTGATGGGAAAATCTTTTAGCCCAAAATGCGAATTTCTTAAGGTATTAGGCTTTGTTTTTGATGGGAAAATCTTTCAGCTCAAAATGCGAATTTTGAAGGTATTAGG